TTTAATTAAATTCATTATGAACATTGCTTTTTTATTATTATCCTTAAACATTATCCTCTTGTATATAACACTTATATACAATGTTTAAGGTTACATAAATAATCATGGATATTCATAAAATATTCATAAATATATGCACATAAAATAATGAATAAACTCTTTTATTAAATAAATAATAAATATCCTATTACATCTCATGCTTCTAGGACACCATTCCCAACAATCTGACCATAGAGGTGGAGAAAATTATAAATTTTACTTTTTTTAATACTTAACTTGTTAACAGTATTTTTTTTATAAAAAAAAAATTACTCTTTAATTAATTTTAATTTAAAAGATAGAAATATATGAAGTAATGTTTATAATAGAAATAAAAAGAGACTCATTTTAAGGGATATTTTTAAAAATTATCTTTCGTGGGTGAGAGTGGGACTAGTGCAGTCATTTTGAGGAGACCCATCAGCCTCTCTTGGATGTGTATAATGTATTGTCATCGTTTGCTCAAGAGAAAATGAGACAAATACTTCTTAAAATATATAAGTATTGAAGTTTTATTTTTTTAATTAAAATATTATATTAGTTAAAAAGATATTAATTAAGAGTAAGAGATAAAAATTTTTAAACAATACATCCAATTAGTGAGTTTTCCAATTTTCTCTTTGCTAAATGTTAGTTTACATATATATATATATATATATATATATATTTTATTTTTTTTTTAAATCCATTATTGGTGGTGTTTTGTGCCACCAATTGGTTAAAAACAGAAGTTCCAACTCAAAAAGAACAAAAAACAAAAAGGAAAAATATGTTGGAACAGTAGTGTGAATACAGATTTATATCTTATTGTTTTCATTTTTCACCTCCTTACTACGTCTTAGGGTTTGTCGGTTCTTGAATAGTTGCGAAGGACTCTCCAAAGGTAAAGTGAGTGAGGTCTTTAAAAGGTGTGATAGTGGAGTGCAAATTGCCTGTGAGTGTGATAGAGGCTAGTATTTATTGAAGATATTTGTTAGGTTGCACCTTTAGAGGTATCGAGTTATTCTTTTTTACATTGAGATCCTGTTTACTTTTTGAATTTAAGTTTTTAATTTGAATTAAAATGTGATATTTTTTTAAAGTTTTTATTTGTAACAGAAAAAATTAAATGTAACATTTGTGAAAATTTTTAACTATAAAATTCTAAATTTAAAAATTTAAATCGATAAAATAAACGAGACCTGAATATTAATCTCTTGATAATCCATCTCGTTTGACATCTCTTTTGATGTAAACAAGATGCATTTGCCTCGAGCACGGGGTCGTGGTATGTCGTTTAACATACGAAAATGCCACCTCAAGGGTGAGGCTGTGTCACGTTGAGTGTCAGACGACGCTTATATCCTTCTTAAATATGAGGCGACACGTGGCTTGCCTTCTTTATTCTAATAAAAGTTGACCCAACAATATCCATAAAAAAATAACAGAATTTCTATGTATATTTTATTTTTCAGTAACTATGAGTATAATAGTGTGTTAATCAGGAGTTAATCCTATTTTTAATTCTGAAAAGAAACACATTCGAAACATTTTGAAAATAAATAAAAAAACATGACTTTGAAAATTAATCAAAATACGATTTTTTATGAAATTTAATAATATTTTTTTAATATAAGGATAGAGGGATTAGAATTGTATATATTATAGGGAGTCATGTGCGAAATTATCGTTAAATTGTGGCTATAATAACATAATTTTTTTTTTATTTTTTACACGATGGTAACAGAAAATATGATTAATCATTCATTTAAAATTTAAGGATAAATTACACAGTTACCCCTAAATTATAGATCTTGACATAAATGCCATTTGAATTTTAACTTTTTTTCCTAGAACTTTAGTAGTTCTTACAAAATTTTCCTTCTATTAAACTCTTGATGGAAAATGTCATGTAAAATGTAAAAATTAAAAAATGAACTCCTTATGTTAAGATTTTTTTTAACATAAATAACATGTGTTACACAAAATAATGAGTGTCATTTTAATAATTTAGTAAACAATTATTCTGTTAGCTATTCCTCATACAGTCACATGAAAATATAGTTACGTAGCAGGAGTTATTATTTTTTTTTACTATACCTAACTTTTTTCTTAATTTGCTTGACCTAGAGATCTTTAGAGGTTCATAAATGGTAACCAATAACAATAACGAAACTAAAAATTTAAATAAAGGGGAAAATTTTGCAATAGTTACTAAAATTCAGGAGCAAAAAAAAACTAAACATTTGGTTCATTAATTCATAATCATGATTCAGAACTATTTTTGATTTATGTGTATTTTTTATGTGATAAAATATTATAATAAACCACAAATCATGATTCGAATCATGATTCGCCCCATTCACTTCGCTGATTCGAGTTTAGAATTCGAGTTTTTCTATAGTGAAAAGCTCTCACAAACAATCACATCTAACTTTTTTACTACAGTAAAAAATTCTCACATAAAGTCACATCTCAACTCGAATCAGTGAAGTGAACGAGTACGCTTAAAATAAAGTTCGAGAATAGTTTGTAATAAGGCCAATAGTTCAAGGGCAACCGTGTAATTTAATGTAAATTTCAATGGTAAACGTCTTCTACGAAGAGAAAAGTGAAGCATTTGCAATGAAGCCCTCTATTCCTTTTAGAACTGCCACAAACTCCAAATTCCAGAACTTTGTGCTTCCAGGCCCTACACACGCACCGCGCGCGCCACAGCACCGCAGGGATAGTTCCGTAAATACAGACTAATCAAAAAAAGTCCAAAAGAAAAACTCCGTAAAACTGAAAAGTCTTTTATCACCCTTCCAAAAAAAAAAAAAAAAAAGTGTTTTATCGCTAATTTTTACTTTTCATTTACCAACCTCCTTTCAATTTCCTCAAACCCAAATTTCTTTTCCATTAATTTTTATATTTCTTTTTTTTTTTTACCATTTTCAATTTATTTTCCAATTTTTACTTCAAGGGCTATGGAGGTTTTCGCCGGCGACCGGCAAATCCCCAACCCCGACGGCTTCCCTCAGCATATAGCTCCTTTTCCGGAGCCGACCGACCTCATCTACGACCATCCGACGGCTGTGCTTCACTCGCCTGACATCATCAACCACCGTCCGATTTCGCCGCCGCAGAAACTCCGTCCGATCAGGTGCAACGCGAGGTATCCGGCGGGGGAATTTCCGGACAGCGGAGGCCTCGTCGGAACCCTAGGAAATGGGTTTCTGAGCAGCCAGACTGGTTGCTTCGACGGAGAGTTTGAGTGGGCCGTGAAAGTTGAAGGCGGCGATGCTCCACCAATGAGCACTGTTTGTGGGAATGTTTCTGCGGCGGCGGATGACCCGATTGGAGTCGGGTCGGGTACGTCAGTTGAAGGCTGGAAACCAGACGGCGTGAAACGAGGACTGGAGAACGAGTCTAGGTGCGTTTTTGCATTTTTGCTATATCCAATATGTTTTCTTAATCTTCATTTTTGTTACTATCTAATTTATTGTTAATAATCTAATTTAATGTTTTTTTTTTTAATGCCACTCTGAAGTAATGTTCCTGTAAAGCGCACCTTTTCATTTTGTTTGTTTGCATTGAATACACATTGGTTTTGACATTTTGTAGGCAACTTGTTGGTTAAGCTTTTTGCGTTTTTTTTATTATTATTTAAAATCCAATATATTTGGTGGTAATTGTCTCCCTGTGACTTGTAGCATTAAGCAGACTAACGCAGAGCATGAATTTTTTTTTTTTTTTTTAGTGAGAAGGCTTTTTTCTTTTTGGTTTTACTATTGATATTTTTCTTTCTATAATTTGTTAGAGGATTTCCAATGTACTAGTCATGTCATCTTTTAGTCAAAATGACTAATAATTTAATTTTTTTTTAGCTTTTTTTACTCTTTAATTATTAGTTAAATGGTTAATTATTTTAGAGAATACATTTCAAACTAACTAAGAGATTGTTTTGTGCATATACTTAAAATTCAAACTATGATTCTGTTAGTATTTTACTCTCATAAAGAATTTGAATAAAAAAATTCTCGCAAATAGTTCTCCTAAAATGAATTTGAATCGAAACCCAAATCATTATTTAAATACACTTTTTAAACGGGCCCTAAATATAACTAATAAAAAGGAGCTGGCCGTTTGTTTTTTCTTTTATTTTATTCTTTTAAACCACAATACATGAAAGGTTCATTTTAAATTCAATAAAGTTATTGATCTTTTAAATTTAATAAATATAAAAATTATTTATATTTAGTTAAAATAAAGAATATGGATAGAGTGAGTCATCCTTGCTAAAAGTTATTTTAACTGTAAAATTTAGAGAGTTGTTCTTATAACAGCTAAATCAATTTTTTGGGGGGCATATTTACTATAGTAGTAGACCCCAGATACTGCCTATCTGCCATAACCTAACAAAACTGCTTGAGGTAGACAGTTTTTTTTTCCTACCCAAAAATGCCCTTTCTGTAACTGGTGTTTCCGAGTAGAGAAATAGGTATAAGTTCTGCATACCTATTTCTGTAACTGGTTCAAATATACTGTCTATGCTTTCAGGGAATTCAAGTTTATTTTGAATTTCTAGCTGTAGATGTTTGGTGAAGATCATTAATTGAGACATATTATTGTGTTTTAGATTGGTTCTTGTCACCAATGTCTACTACGGATTAAATTTGGTTGTTTCCCTTTTCCTCATAGTTGGATTGCACTTAACTGGGCTTGAAGTGGAAGAACACTTTATAAGAGCAATTTAAAACATCTCACAAGGATAAATCCCATATTTCACTTTATAATGCACGTGCAATTCTGTGATAGTAGTTTGATTGTGCTTCTTGGGTCACTGCAATATTCTAAAGGGAGATTTTGGTGAGACTGCTAATTCTTATATGCCTGCGAATCATAAGAAATCTAAGAAATCTTGTATGTTGGTTATTCTGGTTCAAAAATTGATGCCATTAGTCATTGTTGGCTTTATATGTTCAAGTGAGAAAATGGGAGTAAATTTCATGTGCTCTTGATATTAGTTTCACGGGTTCTTTATATAAGGCTGGATGATTGGTTAGTTTCAATTTTTCTAATACAACTTTGCACAAATTCGACAGATTCTTCCCCGTCCTCAGTTCGTCTTCAGATGATGGTGTTGAGTGCTTGGCAACAAACTTCAAAGGTCCAGTTAACCAAAAGAGGCGGAGAAAATCCAGGAGGAATGATCTTGAGCATTTTCTGGAAAGTCTGGTGATGGAAGTGATGGAGAAACAAGAGAAGATGCATAAGCAGTTGTTAGAGATGATGGAGAAGATGGAGAAAGAGAGAGTAATGAGAGAAGAAGCTTGGAAGCAGTTGGAGATAGAAAGACGCAAGAGGGATGAGATGGTAAGAGCCGAAGAGACTTCTCGAAGCCTAGCCCTCATCTCCTTTATCCAGAATTTGTTGGGTGAAGAAATTAAAATCCCCAAACCAGGGCCTCAACTCACCGTGGAAGAAAACGGGGTGAAAACTGACTCGCAACCAGATAATAAACGCGATACAAATAACAAAATCAAATGGCCAGAAGCCGAAGTACAAGCCCTCATCGCTCTCCGAACTGTGCTGGAACATAAGTTTCAAGTTTCAGGCTCCAAAGGATCTATATGGGAGGAGATTTCCGCTGGTATGCATAGCATGGGCTACAAAAGAACAGCAAAGAAGTGTAGAGAGCAATGGGAAAACATAAACAAATAGTTCAAAAGGTTGTCGGAAAGCGGGAAGAAGCGGTCGCCAAATGGTCACGAGTTATCAGAATTTTCGTAACTTGGACATGCTGTAGAGTACTGGACTTGTAAATCCAGAAGTTGGTGTTAACATCACTAACAACGGTGACAATGCCGAAAGTGTGGGATATTCACTGTAAACTTGGCTAAAACCTCTTTATGACACTAAAATGCAAAAGAAGTTGCTGAGAGTGCTAAATGTAGTCTCATCTTTTGCCTTGATGATGAATCAAATGACCATATCATTTATGTAACTATTGAATCTACCTATTTTTTTTATTAAAAAAAAAAAAAAAACACCTATTGAATCTACCTAAGCTTTTTTCTTTTTCCTCGTTTTCCTCTTTTGTAACATCTTTTTCTAATCGAGTACTATCTTTATGTTAAGTATTTCTGCTCTATCATATTTGATCTTGCTTTTCTTCTGTGACCAATAACTATTTTTGTTGCATGGACGTGAGAAGTTGCATCAAGTGACAGAACTGTTGGGAATAATGCGGGTAGAATCAAATTGATTGTTGCGTTCATTCACAAGCTTCTACCATGTTTTTGACTTTTAACACTATTTATTTTACAGCATCTGATTGCTTAAGATTGTTAATTAAGAAACAAATTAATGCGGTACTGAAAATCGCATAATTTCGTAGGGTTATTAACCCTATTAGTTCCTGAATTATAAACGTTGTCATTTTAGTCCCCTAAAATTCTTTTTCTCAGCAGATTATTTTTTGAATTTTATTATTTTTTGAATTTTGATTTTTTTTGATAGCTTTAGTCAATGACATTGAAATTGATAAATGACTTCTGAAATTTCATTGGGATAATCCCGTCCCAATCACATATTAATTGAAATATGTGCAAAAATGGTTACATAAATGTAAAACTTTATCTTTACGATTGTTAAAACCCCTTAAAAACTAGAATATTTCATAATTAATACAATCATTTCGGTAAAAGATTTATTTACTGAGCGACCTACAAAAAAAAAAAAAAAATCAAAGTTCCAAAATAAAATGTCAAGAAAAAAGTTAAAGAACCAATGTCAAATATTGCTCGTAGTTCTAATTACCCAATTTTATAGGCAAGTAAAACTGAGGACGAGGGACATATAACATATTCAACTTTACGTGCAAGCTTTCCAGTGATTAATCGATTGCCTTTGTACTACGAAATGCTTCTTAACGAATTGACAACCTTTTGTTTACTCTTTTTTTTTTTTTTTGGTAGACGAGATTGCGCTATAACTGATTAACTGCGGATATCATAGGGGTTAGTATAATTTTTGGTAGCTCATACGGGTTAATATATAGACTTTGTAATCCCATTTTAGTGTTTTTTTTTTTATATTTTATTTTTGCATTTAATTATTCCTTTTTTTGAATCATTTGCGGAATATCAGTACTTAACATTGAACAATTCCTCGATACACCAATACATTTACGAACCAAACTTTAAGAAAACCAAAATTTGCATTGATCAACAACATTACATGATAACAAAATAAAAATCACGATGTGGTTCATATGTATACAAGTACGAAAACAATATAGCTTGTTCAACACACGACAGAACAGCAAAGAAGCGTAAAGAGAAATGGGAAAGTACATCAACAAATACTTCAAAAGGTTGATGGAAAGCGGGAAGAAGCGGTCTCCAAATGGCCACAAGACTTGGATCAGTGTTTTCATAACTTGAACTTGCTGTACATCGATCGCTAACAATGGTGACAATGCCAAAAGTGAAAAAGATTAGTACTCCGCCATCAATATATAACTTTGACATTTTTTTCCCTTTATTTACTCTTCTGTAACATATTTTTCTCTCTTTTTCTTATGGAGTTTTTCTCCAGTATGATCTTTTTTTTTTTTTTTGGTTAATTACCAGTAACTCTTTTGAAACGTGGGATTTGCATAAATTGAAAGTGCTCTTGAGAAATGCACGAGGTAGCCTTAAATTGATTGTTGTACGTTCGATCACAACTTCCACGCTCTGATTTCACTTGCTAGCACTACTGTGTTATATAGCATCTGATTACTTAACGAGACTTGTAATAACGTATTCTGTTATGCATTATCAGATTTCATTTAATCTTTTGGTGTTATGTTCCGAAAGATTACTACTTAAACATTGAACATTTCCCAGATACGCCAACGCATTTACGAACAAATAATAATAACTTTAAGACCCAAAGACCAAAATCTTCATTCAACAACATAACATAACAACAACACCGAAGATCATGATGTGGTCATACAAGTACGAAGACAATCTAAGTTCAACACACGACGCGACATAACTTTATTATATTATTATAGCATAAACTATATATTAATTTAGTCCGGCATAACGGACATGCATAAGCGACATATGATGATGATCATCATATGTCTTAATCATAATTAATCACTTAGAAGCTCGATGGAGGATGAAGTAAACAACCACCAGAACGAGCGGGACGCTGAGAAAGGCGAGAGTCGAAGGCGGTTGAACCGGTCCCATCCCCAGCGGAGCAAACATCACCACCGCCGCCACCACCGCCATCACCACCACCGACCAGAAGCCCCACACAACATTAATCTGTCCCTCCATGTATAGTATATCTTCCAACGAAATTAAAATATGCTAGAGTGAAAAAATGGAAGTAAATTTTCAGTCGGAGTACGGGTTTTGTTTTTCTTCTTCGTACGTATATGTACTTTAGCATGGTGACTGTTCGAAAACGATACAACGGTTGGCGAATCGGTGTGTTGTGATGGTATATATTAGGTTTTCCATATATGTCTTGCGACTCCAATTAAAAAAAAAAAAAAAGGAAACGAAGAAGAGAGAAGAAAACCTGTTCATGATGTTTAGGGCAGCGTACGAATAGTTTCCACCGCTTTATAGTTTTTCTTTTTTTGTTTGCTTTCCCCCCATTTTTAGGGTTGTTATTCAAATTTTGAAAATTGTAATTTCTTTTTCTTCTAACAAAGTAGAAGAAAATTTTTAAGTGAAACAGACATATTACTTATTCTGAAAACGAATGAAATAAACATATTACTGTAGTAATTTTTCATGTAATTTAGCAAATTATTTACTTTGCAACAGAAATTTGATTTAATAATCCTGATAATTTATATATATTACTTGGTCTTTAGGGTTGTTAGTCCCTGAGTTACTATATATTCAATCAATTTAATTTGTTTTTACAATTCGGTGCTTAGCTAATTTAACTTATTTTGATAATTTTGGTCTCAGTGGATTTTTAAAATCTAACGGAGATAAACACAACTTTTATTTTAATACAATCACGTAATTATAAGTTTTTTTTACTCTCTTTAATTACTTCTTTGAAAATCTTTAAAAGATTATAACATTCTGTAATGTGACTTTTTTTAAAAAAAGTTTATATGTGATTATGCTGTAGGCACGTATAATCTCCTCAAGTTTAAAACTTTATCTATCGGCCATATGTAATCAATCCATTGAACGGTTAGAGAACACAACTGATTAGAAAATATATGAGGAAAAGAGTCAAACATCTCTTAAAGTGCATAATCTGAATATTTACCTAATTACTCTTAATTAATATTCTTTTTAAATAACTATATTAGTCAATAGGGTATTAATCAAAAATAAAATAGTAGAAATCCATACTCATACTTTAAAAGTAAGTTAAACAATTTTCTTAAAAAATATATATATATCAATGAAAAAAATAAAAACCAAAATAACCCTTAAAAATTCTAGGAATTAATCAATATAGGGCCAAAATTTCTTTATTATTATCTTAACTCGCCGAGTTGCTAAGGTTTTTTTTCCAAAAAAAAAAAAAGTTAATGGTTGTTGTGTTTGTGCCTATTGGGCAAATGGTATGGGTGGTAAGTGCTTATGTGCAAGCATTGGAAGACGGAGTACAGGTGATGAGGCAACCTAAGACTGCCGGTAACATCAACGTCAATCTGGGGTGCTGTCGATCAGTGAATGCCACTAATAACCGGCAAACGCCGGGTTTCTCGTGGAGCTCGCCAATGCCTTGCCACTTGGTCGATCGCCACTTTTTTTTTTTCTTTTCTTTTCTTTTGAGGTAAAAATTCATTGTGCTTTTGGCTACTATAAAACTTGACACTTGCCAAGTACTAATACTACCTTCTAACGTCTGCGCAATTTCAAATCAAAGGCTAATTTTAGTGAGAAAAAGCAGATCATAGAGAGGGTGGGAATCTTGGGCAAAAGAAATGGAACGTGGAGGTTTTCATGGCTACCGCAAGATCCCCAACACGACTTCGGGTAACGTACTATATATAATATAAATATATATGCAGATTTAAGATTTTTAAGCAATACATTTGTAAAATTTGTCCATTATCTATTTAGTTAAACTGTTAATAATGCTACTTTCTTTCTTATTTCTCCAGAAATATGATTCTATCATGATTCGTATGCATATTCGGTAATATTGACGACTAACGTCCATATAAACTGACATTGTGTTTTCGTGTTTAAAGTCTCATCCGGCGTGATGATCTTCTCATGCATGCAACTGTTTATATGTTCACTATACTTGAGATATCTCTCCGGGGTGGCTATGGCATATATATATATATATATATATATATACATATATCATGTGTGTGTGTGTTTTTATGTATTTGTGCATTTGTGTGTAAATCAGTATTTTTTTCAGTGTTTCATTTACATGCATAGTCTTTTTTTCCTCTAACTTAGCCATGGCATATTTCTCTCCCCTCTCGATCAGTGTCTTAGTTAATACCTTGGGTGCAAAATGACATATAGCTAATATTTAAACTAAGTTCGCGGAGTATATATAATATATGTATGTATGTCTGTATATATTCTGTTGTTTCTTCGGTCACGCGCGATCTGTCTCGGCTGTTTGGTCATCTTGCAAGAATTTATTTTTATACTGCGTGATCTCTGTTGGGCATTAACGGCCACTATTCTATTGACCATGATAAGATAAATATGATGGGTCTCTTTAGTCATCTCCGATAGCTTTCTTATATAATTAAGTTGCTCTTTTTCTTTGTGTTATTCTGATCTGCTTAAAAAAAACAGAAAAATGAAGAATAGTTGTTCAAAATCGCCACGATTGTGAATGCGGCATTAAAAAAAAAATGTTTGGATGTTGCTGATGATCATCAAGTGTTAGAAACTGATCAAGAAAACTGTTTCGGACAGAGAGAGAGAGTAGGATGAAGTACAAGTGGCGGGTACCGTGCATGCAATCTAGGACCCCACATCAAACAAGTGGCACTCATGCATGCATATTCTCAACCACTAATAAGATCCCACTCTATATATATATATATATATATATATTCATCACCTATTTGTTCGCTCATGTATTGATCACCTATTTTATCATCCGCAAACCACCGTCCACACACCTATTTTATTTTGCTTTAAAAAACACTTTTAATTTTAACTCAAAATAAAAACTCGAATGATGGTTTCTTACTTATTTATTAAAAAAAAGAAAAATATTAATAAAATCTCTATTCTCCCTTCAAATATGAATACTACCGTGCTAGTTTTATGAAAAAAACAAAGCCCCTTATCGGATTTGAACCGATGACTTACGCCTTACCATGGCGTTACTCTACCACTGAGTTAAAAGGGCAAGTAGATCCTAAAGAGATTCCACTTCCTCATGAATTTATCTTGAATCGGGATCTTTTGGCTCAACTTTATCCCAGTTTTGCTGAGGGAGCAACCCCATTTTTCACCTTGAATTGGTCCACTCGATCCAGTTCAAGCTATTCGCATCACGGGAAAATGGAGTGCTTCCTTCATCGCGGAGGGCGGGGGGCTAGGGAACTGCCAACCTAGGTTTCAATAACTTGACTTGTAGGATTGAACTTTCTAAGACCTATTGGTCCCCATCAAACGCCCTACTCGCCTTCTTCCCGAGTAAAGAAAAGGTGCTAAGACACTGATAATTCTATTTTTCGGTCGATTTGCCGAACTAATTTTAGAGAGAGATCGCCTTACCAACTAGAGGGCAAGGCTTATTTTTAATACTTTTATTAAATAATTAATAATTTATAATTCAAATTATTAATTGGACGTGCACTTATCTGTGTCACTCACAAGCATCAGGAGCAGTTTCTTGCCTTAGGAAAAAAAAGAAGTATGCATAGGCTCTTCCTTTAACTTGCCTCATTACTCTTAGCTCCCGACTACACTCTTAGCCTCCTCCCGTAACTTTATTCATTACTACTAGTCTCCACTACCCCTACGCTACAATGAGTAGTTTTGTAGCCATTTCTTTGCGTTAAAACACTGGCTAGCTTATAGTGCCTACTAGTCTCTCTCTCTCTCTATTTATGGTCCGTTTACTTCGCTGATTCAAATTTTTAATTCGAGTTGAGACGTGACTTTCTGTGAAAATTTTTTACTGTAGTAAAAAAGTTAGATGTGATTATTTCTGAGAGTTTTTTATTATAGTAAAACTTAAATTTTAAATTCAAATCGGTAAAATAAACGGAGTCTTAAACATCAAATATTGCGACTGTGAGATCAAATCTTGTCCCACTATGCTGAATCAAATAATTATCACCCTTCAAGAGGAGAGAAACCCCTAAAGCTTCCTTTATCTTTCAGACAAAACCATATGTGGTTGGTCGAGTCTGTTTTTCTTCACTTTTCGAGATCATTTATTAAAGCTTTTGATTCTTGTCGTTTCTATTATCTTTTATACATTTATATGCGGAAAAGAGTTCAAAAAGTTCCTTAGGGCCAATGGGGCCCTTCACCGTATAAATCTGCACGCTCACGTGATTACTTCCAGAAAACCGCATTAGATTGGTCCACGTATGTTCTGTTCAACTTCGTTTCCCAAGTCACCATCTTCTCTTTCCTTTCGTCGTTTTTTATTTTTCTTTCTGCTAAATGGGTCCTATAGTTTTCCTATATGTTAAAAGCTGCGCGCCAAACCCACTTTAATAAGGATTAGAAAGCTTACAAAAAACTAATAGGTTAGGACTTGTTCTTTTAAAGTTTAATTTAAGTATAATTTTTTAGTTGAATTTGAGTTATAATTTGAGTTGAACTTGTAATTTGAGTTTGTGTTTAGTTGTGTACATTTGAATTATAGTTTGAGATAAGAATCTTTTTGAGTTTGTGTTTGAGTGAGTCAAAACTTGAATTTGTATTTAGATAGTATTTTAATAAAAACTCAATATTGATGAAAAATTTTAATATGATATATAGGTCGGGTTTTATTCGTCTTTTTATTGTCAACGCATAAAAAAAATCATCTTAATCATAATTAAAACGAAAAAGTTATAGCATTTTTAAGAATAAAAAAAATATTGTTCATTAATTTGAGTTCGAGTTTCTGAACTCGAGTTGAAGAAGAAACTTGAACTCGAGTTTTAGTCTTAAACTCGAGTTTGAACTCAAGTTTAAACTCGAGTTTAAACTTAAAAGAACATGAACTCGAATAAAATTGTAACTCGAGTTACTTTTTTTTTAGTTTTTCACTCAAAAGAACGAGCCTTTAATTTCTTTTAACATTTTAAACAAAAAATTTAGAAACGATAACAAGTATATATATGTTATTTTTTGTTATTTTTTTTCGTAAACTGTTCGACTATAGTACGCTGCTGCGGTTTGGCATTGACCATTGGTTCGCTTGTTTTTAAATGATCAAATTAATTATAAGTTATTTATCTAATTTATCCGTTTGGCTTGTTTATTTTTAAATGTTACTTGTGTAAAACTCTATCGAAAAAGAATATGATCATTGTGGAATACCTGTCAGCTAATCCGGCCTCTCTTAGAAGGAAAATGAAAACAAAATTTCCAATGATATACTTGAAATTCAAGATATATATTAGTCCTTCTCTCAAATACAATATACTAAGTTAACTATATCATTTCTTTAATAATTTTTTTAAAAAAGAATAAAAATACTAATAGGAATCATTGATCATGTTTCAAAATTAGATAAACACTAGCGTTTGGTAGAGGGATTCGTTCCCTGATTTGAATTATGATTCGTGATTTGTTACAGTATTTTTTCTCATAAAAAAATACACGTAAATCGAAAATGATTCGAATCACAATTCAAACGAATTTATTAATTGCTAATTTCTACTTGAACTTGACCAAGACCTTTTTTCTTGTCTGAATTATTATAAACTCAATTAATATAACTTGTGCCAGGGACCAGCCCATCCGATCAGATAATCAACCACTCCACCGCCACCACCAACCAACCCCCCGCCGCCGCTGGAGACGACAACGAATGCACGGTGAGAGAACAAGACCGGTTCATGCCGATCGCGAACGTGATCAGAATCATGCGCAAGATCCTCCCGCCGCACGCGAAGATCTCGGACGACGCAAAGGAAACGATCCAGGAGTGCGTGTCGGAGTACATAAGCTTCATCACCGGAGAAGCCAACGAGAGGTGCCAGAGGGAGCAGCGGAAGACGATCACGGCGGAGGACGTGCTGTGGGCGATGAGCAAGCTCGGCTTCGACGACTACATCGAGCCCCTCACGCTCTACCTCCACCGCTACCGCGACGCCGAGGGAGACAGGAGTGGCTCCTCCTCCTCCTCCGCTGTCTCCATGCGAGGCGACGTCGTTCCGTTCATGAAGAGGGCTGTTGACTACGGGAGCGTCGCGGCTTTCGCGCCGGCGGCGGCGTTTCATCACAACGGGTTTTTCGGCTACTTCAAGGATAATAATGGCTCCGGTGCTGGGGGTTCTGGTAATAATTCACTGGCTGCGGTGTCTAAAGGAGAACAACATGGGCAGTATAAATAATTTAGGATCGTGGTTTTTGGACAATTGGGGTGCATGGTGCGTGGCGACTGTGGCCAAGGGAATAACTGCTTGCGTTTTCTTTTAATTTACTGTTTTTTTTTTTTTTTAACGGCTTTGTAATGCTTGTTTGAATTTGGGATGTGGGAATCCCATTGAATTTTAAGGTTTAATAAACCCCTTCCGTGCCCATTTTTGTTGAAGCCTTTTTCTTCTCAGCTGTTATCTGTATGGTGGGTGGAAAGTTTTCTGAAAAAAAAGAAAAACATGAAAAAGGAAAATAGAAAGATGAAAATAGCTCCCAGCGAGGATCGAACTCGCGACCTTTCGCTTACGAAGCGAACGCACTACCACTATGCTATGGAAGCAAGTTGTCATTCTAGTTTCTATTAAATTAATTCGAAAAAGTTAATGCCAAAAAAGAGAAGACAGACACTCGCCACATGTTGCATGGGGCTGACGTTTACACTTGGCGTTTGTTGTTCCAACGCACTAGGAAATGGGATAAGAGTATTTTTGTCAAATAAAAGAGCAAAGTATTTATCTTTCAGCACCAGCCAGTGTTACGCTCCAGTGCACACCAAAAACAAGACTACCAAATTTAATTGAAAGACAGCGGCTTAAGAATTCAATTTGAGCGTTGAAAATAACAAATTTAATTGGTCGCATCTGAAGTTATGACAAAATCCTTGATTAGTATCCTTTAACCAAGTGAAGGGGCTTCAATACACTGCCTTTTAGTATCGGTTTGATCATCACTCTCTTGGTTTTCTTCCCCCTCTGCTTCATGGTGTTCCTGTGTGTCAGCTTCGCATCTTTTCCTTTGAGGAATCACTTGGAAAAAAGACGTCTTCCAATCCTTGGTTTCCAAGAACTTGAGAAGTATCTCAATTGCTTGATTTACAGTAAGGACCTGCACTCAAAACGACAACCTAGTTAGTATAGAACGATAAAAAGAAAAAAAACCGAGATTTATAGGATTTAGATGAGAGCAAGTTGCCACTTGATGCATGACTTTCCAGACCAACCAACCCGGATCTTGCCTCGCAGGCCTCTCTGCATTTTGTGAGCAAAGCGCTCGATCTTAGAAAAATTCCATTTTGAACGGCACGAATCTTTCTATTTTTGAGCTGGAATTTGAGTTGTCTCCCCAGGTTTTGCCACTTAAAGTGTATACAAGATGGCAATGCGATAACAAATTATTCCCAGGATATATGTTAACAAAAAAAGGCATCTTCAGTCTTCATGGGAAGATGTGTGTTAGTTAATCCAGCACAAGTCTGAATGACAACAACTAAAATTTGCAATCTGACACCGTTCAACACCCTAAAAGAGTGAAAGTCCTACATCCCGCAACTTATGTCAAGAACCAAAATTCAGTAAGCGAGTATAATTGTCATTCGAAATTCCCTGGCAGCTGAACAATTAACAGTTGCACTAAGGCAGAGAAACTGCTGTGTCCAACAGTGGTTCCATTTTTGCATATTGCGTTTAACATTAGTCATCAAATGCATGCCTTTGTGATTGCCTTTGGCATAGTCATCATGTGCCCTTTTGAATTCAATGCGTGGTGTAAAGTTAAAAGTGTATGCAATTTTAGTTGCACTGTAAGCAGCCATTGTATCGTTGTGTGACTTCCAATAGTTCTTGTATATTTATAACTAGACATCAAGTTAACTAAATAGAGCATTTTACAAACTTTATAATATACCTGGGAACTAGACATCTTCAAGTAGCTCCCAATTGGGAGCTTTGCAGTTTGGATGCCCTGCTCTTGCGCTTTCTTCATGGTTATCCCTTTCCACCGATTTCGATCCACCAATCCGCCGATTATGTACAGTTTCTTCGGATCAAGTTCATCAAGCACGGTTTCTGAATCAGCTGTGAGATACACCAGATTTTCCTTCTGGTCTTGCAAAGCTTCGATGTAAGATCGATTTTCCTTCTCGATTATCCACTTGTCGAATCCGGGAAGCCTTTGCAATTGGCTTCCCATCTCCCCGGCGCATCCGGTCAACCAAAGATGCCCCGGGTTTGCACATCTTCCATTCATTGCATAAGAATACATTATCTGCAGGCTTTTGTCAGTAACAAAGGACCCTCACAAGAATAGTATAATCACATAAAGGAAAACACCAATTTGAACCTAAAACGGACTAAAATATATGAAATTCCAATTCAAAGATGAATTTTACTTCTACGAAAACTAGAGAGAAAAGGAAGAGAGGAAAACTGCTGAACGAGGCTGTTGATCTCGGATGGAGTCATGAGGTGAGAGAAATCGAGGTCGATGATGATGTTCTGTCCAGAATGTTTGGCATTCGTGAGCCTCTCGATCTTCTTCTCTCTCTCCTCCGACCTCTTCTCCATTCTCTCCTTCCTCAGGCTCTTCCTCGACTCGATCAGCTTCGAGCGCTCCTCCTCCGGGACGCTCGCCAGCGTCTCTTCCCATTCCTTCCGCTTCCGCTCCGCATCCTTCTTCTTCTGCTCCTTCGCCTGCGCTTTCTTCTCCGCCTTCTTCGCCTCGTACTTCTGCTGCTTTAGCAGCTTCTTCTGGGCGTTCTTTGACAGAGGTTGCTGGGGAGCTTCTGAAGGAAGGTGTTCGAGGGCTTTTTCGTCATTTTGTTCGGCCTCCATTGGAGGCTTCTTTTGCTTGATTTTGAGCGGGATGTGCTCTGTTCAGATGTTTTAGGGTTTGGGACCGGGAAATGGAAATTTTATGTCAATGAAACGACGTCGTCAATTCTGGACAGAGAAATCTGGTGCTAGATAAATTTTTTTTTTTTTAAGGGTAAGATTTTGTAACGACATGTTAAATACTTGCCGATAAATAATTTAAAAAAAAATGTTGGAAAAACATGTACTCGCCGAAATCCAATGTGTGTTGTTGTTTTTTATTATTGTTATTATTATTATTATTTGGGTATTTTTAAAAAAAAATAAAAGTATTAAACAATATCAGTCCACATATCGATTTTGGTTAAGTTCTATCTAGTATATATCTTGTCCAAGGTTTTGGAAGATATTAAAACATTTAATCAGTGGTTGGATTTTTTTTATGAATATTCTATAAAATAAAATAAAATATTTGTTTATGTAATTTAAAGACTTGTTGATTTGCACCTAAATTTAAAAAAAAAATTATAACGAGCTTGCTCGTTTACATTCAAACTCAAAAAAAGTTTAAACTCAAATTATAACTTTATTCAAGTTCATGTTCTTTTATAAAATTTGAGTTTGAATTTAAATTTTAACTTTAGTTTGAGGTTAAAATCTAAGGATGCGTTCACTTCAATAATTCAAATTTGTTAATTCGAGTTAAGAAAGTGGATTTGAGTTGTAAAAAATTTAAGGGCCCGTTCACTTCGTGCATTACACTCAAATAAAGTGAATTCAAGTTTGTTTTTGGACTGAAATAAGCGTTCGCTTACCCAAACTTGAATTTAAAATTTGAGTAATAACTCGAGTAGGTAAACTTCACCGTCCCCTCAAACTCTCATTACTCGAGTTATTTTCTACAGTGCTCTTCTGACATTTCTCTTCCCGTTGGATTCCTGTTGCCTCACGAGAAAGCTCTGCCTGCTCTGCAAAAAGCTTGCAGATTCTCCTCAATGAGACCAACGATTAATCAATCCACTATGAAATCGCTTGGACCGCTGCACACCATTCCCACAAGCGTGTTCTTCTTGGACTGCTGTGAAATCGCTTCATCCACCAAACTCACCCACGGTGAAGTTGCTCGCAGGTACATCCCATATAAACCCAGCCCAAATCGGCAATATTGGTGAATCCCGATCCCTATATTCCTTTGTTGCCTTCTCCTTCAGTGATTCAACACGGGAGAAATTGATCCCACGCGAGTGAGCCGGCTTCCTCCGTTGGCCGTGCTCCTGCGTCGATGTAGCGCCAAACGCCGTCTCCGACCTCCGAAGCGTGCTCCTAGAAATAGAGCTTTCTGTTGTCGGTGCCGGTATCCATCTCTTCACCGACGTCCATCACAGTCGCGTTTGGGGGTTGTCGAAGCAGATCAACCATTGTCCTCTTTCGGATCAAACACGGTAAGACCTTTTCTTTGACTGATTTACACTTCCATTGCCTCTGCATATGCCAGTGGATGATTACACTGCTGAATCTGAACATTGTCATTTTTATTGGATTTCTTTTATCTGGATGTCGTTTACACTGAAGTTTAACATGTTCATTTTAAATTCATTTCATGAAGTTGTATGATTGCCGTTGCATACTTTTCTATAGTTGTTTGAGTTATTAGAAGTTCTTCATACGCTAGTTTTGATAATTTCACTAAATACAATGGTATGAAGCATGTTTTGTTGTTTGAATACTTAGGCAAATCTGAGATGCAAATTTCCTTCCCGACATACAGTAGTTACTTGCTATAAGACATATGTTTACCAACAACTTACACAGAAACAGAACTTTGATGGATGAAAACTAGAATGAAATGTGTTATTAAAGGCCCAGCAATGTGTTATTTTGTGATACATTCATAAAGAAATGTGTTTACTCCTGATGTGACAAGCTTTGGTGAGAGATTTCCTGAGAGATTGTTATCACTAAGACCCAGAAACCTCAGCCTCTTTGATTCTGATATGGACTCTGGAATCTCTCCTATACGGCCTGTGTTGGAGAGATCCAATATGACTAATTTCTCCACCTTTTCCCACTCTAGGCTCATTAAGTCCCCACCAATTGGGTGATTGTCGTTATTTTTAATTTGAAAACCTTTAACATATGCTAATAATACATTTTCTTTCATTCTTCAATTCTCAGAAATCTTGCAGCAGGCAATAAGATTGTTGGCTATTAGATCACGTGCAGTGCTTATTGTGTCACTTCCAAATGTTTGTCCATTTTATTTATATATAATAATACTATAATTAGTTAATTTTATATAACTCGTTTGCCTACCCTGTTGTCGTATTGGCTGTCCTGTGGCCGTGTTTAGCTTATTGCCTCCCTTGTTGTCGTATTGTCTCTCCTGTTGCCGTTTATACCTAAGCTTATTACCTACCCTGTTGTCGTACTGGAGTTATGTTATCACTATTATTTGTTGAATATGCAGATTGCAAGAATTACATGGAACAAGTGCTGTCTTCTGATTTGGTGCCCATGGGGAACGACATTAGGCATTGTTTGATGTCCTTTACTGTCATAAGCCAAGTTTGTTGCATTGTTTTGTGCCTCTGCCTAAACCCGGTGGATGATTACACTGCCAACTCCACCCATTCGTCGTTTTCATTGTGTCTCCCTTACTTGGATGTCGTTTACACTAAAGTGTACAACATGTTCATTTTAAATTCTTGAAATGAAGTTGTGTAATGCCTCTGCATAATGTTGTGTAGTTGTTTAAGCTGCCTCACGTCAAATGTTTGCAAGAGTATTTAACATTGGCTTATATAGGTCCAGAAAATGAAGATAAAACCAATGCAATATCTTGTGTAAGTGGTGAGTTTAGTTGTGTGCAAGTGAACACATAACTCAAGTTTTAAATGTCACATCAATCTCTTACTAAACACTTAACTCAAAATTCACATTACAACTCTAATTAAAAATAACTCAAGTTCACTTTTCTTACTCAAATCATAAAATTGGAGTTAGTGAAGTAAACGGGCCCTTAAGTTTAGTTTGGACTTTGAGATTAATTTGACATTTAAAACTTGAATTTTGTGTTTACTTGTACTAAAGTCAAACTCCAATTACAAAGAAGTGTCATTTTCTGCCGAGGCAATCCGCACTATAGAACCAAACTTGAGTAATGGGAAAACAAGGAGTGGGTAAAACTCACAAACTCGAGTTATTGCTCGAGTTTGAAATTCAAGTTGCGTTTAGTGAACGCATAAACCGGCCCAATTTCACACTCGAGTTGGGCTTACTCGAGTGTGATCTACGAAGTGAATGGCTCCTGAGTTCAAGTTTCCCCTTCAACTCAAGTCCATAAACTCAAACTCAAACTAATGAACAATATTTTTTTTTCGTTTTAATTCTGATTGAGATGATTTTTTTTATGCGTTCACAACGAAGAGACGAATAAAACTCTACCCATATACGTTATTAAAATTTTTCATCATCATTAAGTTTTTATTAAAATATTATCTAAATACAAACTCAAGTTTTGACCCACCCAAACATAAAACTCAAAAAAGATTATCATCTCAAACCATAACTCAAATGTACACAACCAAACACAAACTCAAGTTACAACTTCAACTCAAGTTATAACTCAAAATCAACTCAAGTCATCGTAACTCAAAAATGCAACTGAACAAGCCCAACTTTATTAAAGTTCATCTTAAAAACATCATAACATTTTCGTTTTAATTCCGATTGAGATGATTTTTCTTATGCGTTCACAACGAAGAGACAAATAATATACCCTATAAAAAATTTTCATCAGTATTGAGTTTTTATTAAAATACTATCTAAATACAAATTCAAGTTTTGTCCCACCCAAACACAAACACAAATAGATTCTCAATTCAAACCATAACTCAAAATTTGCACATCCAAACACAAACTCAAATTAGAGTCTCAACTAAAACAATATTCAAATACACCTTAACTCAAATCAAGATTTGAACTCAAATCATCATAACTCAAAAAATGTAAATGAACAAGCCCAAATTTCCGTACAAACTTAATTTAATTTTCCCATGTTTATCCTATCTTGAATAATGTTTACGTTGTAACTTGAGTTTAAATTTTTAGTTGAGTTTATGTGCAAATGAACAAGTTCTTAAATTACATAAACAAACCTTTTATTTTATTTTATAGAATATTCATAAAAAAAAAATCCAACCACTGATTTTTAAATGTTAATATCTTCCAAAACCTTGGACAAGATATAAACGAGAACTTAACCAAAATCGGTATGTGGACTGATATTGTTTAATACTTTTATTTTGTTTAAAAATACCTAAAAAATAATAATAATAGCAATAATAAAAAAAATAGGTCCTTAAACTCATATTTTAACCCTAAATTTAAGTTAAAATTGAAATTTAAACTCAAATTTTACAAACGAATATAATTTTGAATAAAATTAGAATTTGAGTTCAAATTTTTAAAAAAATTTTACTCTAAAAGAACAAGGCACAAGCTCGTAGTTTTTGTAATTTTTCTTGATTTAGACTATGTTTGGTATGAATGAAAAGTGGAAGGAAATAAAATATTGGAGGGATTTTATGATGGAAATTGGTAAATTAGCTTGTTTGGTAAAAAGAAAATTGGGAAGGAAAAGAAAATTAATGGAAATTGTGATTGGTGGGTCCCACTATATTTAATCTCTCCAAAAGTGGAAGGATTTTAAGAAGAAAAATGTGGATAACTACCTAAATTATTAAATTGTCCTCATTTTTTATCTGGCTCCAAAAGTTGGCGCATTTTTTTTTTTGCCAAAAAAAAAGAGATAAATGAGCTTTCTCTCTCCACTCAGCACACCTTTCACGCGGAAAAAACTTCATTCCATGGTTGAAGTCTGAAGGTAGTTCTATTATTGTTCAAGATTGAAGGTACATGGTCTAAACTTCAATTTTAAAATTAGCTTTGTGAATGAATCTCTCACTCCCTTGCTTTTTCTTGTTTCATTCTCTCTTTTTTTTTTTTTTTACAATTTACTCGTCCAATTTTTTTTTTTTTTTTTGCTTGTCTAATATCAACGTTGTATGTTATTTGAGAAGTTCTAGTGATTTTTTTTAAGGATTGAATTAGCTAAATGG